TAGTATCTCCATAGATTTTCTGTGGTTTGTTTTTGGGAGGTGCTAAATATGTCCTCTGACAGCAGAGTAAACTGCTGCTTTGACAATGTGTTGGTGTTTACCTGTCCAGGCTTTTAATCACTTTTACGAACAGTATTTATATTTTTGTTTGGATTTCAATTTTTATATATATTTTATATTTTCTTTCAGTTGTTCTAGAGAGAAAACAGCCACAAGGTAAGATTTTTATTTTCTTTGTTGATATCTTTCTTTTATTTTCTGTTTAAAGTACATTTTGAGGAATATTTCTTTAAAAATATTGTTTTATCAGTTTTAAGGGGAAACCAGGTATGGTAAATTTAGCAAAGATTGACAATGAGTAATTTATGCACCAACCAAATTGCTTTTTCTTTATTAATATAATGATATATTTAAACTGAGCCACAGACTTTAGGCTCAACAGACCAGGCTTACCCTCTTATCTCCCTTGGTGGTAAAATAGATTATGAACCTCCATTGATTGAGTATAAATCAGATTGAGAAGATGGTGATTTACAAAGGACCAGGTTCTGGTCATGTTGCTCTATATGAAAGCTTCTATATGAGGGTTGCTGTCCATTTGCAGACCCTAAGGAGGATTCAGGGGACCAAGCAAAGCTCATAGGAGGTGTCGTGGGCGGACTTCTCATAGCTGCTCTTGTGGTGGGACTCATCTACTGGCTCTACATGAAAAATTCAAGGTGAAGTATTAATTTAAGTACATCTACTTGACATCAGGAGGCTCCATAGGTCCAAAAATATTTTCCTGTGGGCCCAAAGTGTACGGGTCTCAGGGGGGCTCAGGTCCCTGTGAGGAAGTCTCTAAAGAAATGAGAATAAATACTCCTGAGTGACTGTTAGGTATGATCCACAGTCTCTGTCAAAAGATGAAACTTAAGTGATAACAGGAGTTAAATAAGTACTGTAATAAGTCATTACAAAGACAGAATTATAAATGTAACTAACAGTTCTCTGGATTACTTCTGTATGACCTACAGACAAGGAAGCTGGAAAACTGGTGAAAAGGAGACAGGAATACCTGAGGAGAGCAAGAAACTAGAGGATAACAATCAGACAGTTTGAAGACTGTGCTACGTGGGATAAAAGAGGTATGCATATGTGACTCTTATCCAATAACTTGTTATTTCATGTGCAAATCTCAAACAGTACTTTTTAAACATCTTTTTATAAACATACAAAAGTTCTGTCAATCTCATCGCTTAGACTCCAGACCTTTGATATGCCATTCCCAGCACTGACCGTAGTTCTATAGAGAAAATATTTAATGGAATGGAAACACTGGAATAGCTTTTAAAGATTCATTTGAAAAACAATGATAATGCATCACATGTTATTATCATCATAGGAAGAAGCAGGTGGAAAACCAACTGTCATCATGAAACACACAGACTTCCTGTTGGCTGCTGATGCACTCAATAAGTTTCCAGATACCAAGAACCAAGTCCTGTCACCAGCCTGCTGTCCCCCCTTACTTTTTGAAGTCCACACTGAGGCCGCCACGTCACTGTGTCATTCTTTCTTTCTTCTTTTTTATTTGTGTTTCTAGTCAATACTGCTTGTTATGTTGTTGGAGACATTCTGCTAGATTTTTTGGTTGGAGCTCTGACTAGTTACAGTATTTCTTTTTTTGTATTTCTTTGGTTTGTTCTAGAATGCCTATGACTTAAGGCCTGAATAAACATTGGCTGAGCATGCCAACATTTTGACTTTGTACTTGTGCGCTGTGTGCCTTTATGTGGCTGTGCTCAGAGAAATAGACACTTCACTGCTGTATCACCCGACCGAAATTGTTACCACAATGACCTCGACATATCATAACCTCCTGACACTCTGTCACTGTGCCTACCCTAATAACAAACTGTGTTTGACACATGGAGCAACATGATACAGAAGACATTTTGGTGAAAGACTTTATTTTATTCTCAAATGTGATTCTTTTACTTTATTTTTCATCTAATTGAAGATTTAAAAGAGAAAGAAGAAGCAATTGGAAAAGAGCAACAAGTTAGAAATCCAACAGCATTGTGTTCTTAATGTCTTATAAATTCATGTTTTAGTTTGATACACTACATGTCATGTTAATGTCTTTACCTCACTGTTTCTCTGTTCTTTTACCAACCCTCCAAGGCTGGGATCAGGGTTTTGGAGAAAGTTAATTTTATCTTTAATGTTATCTTTTTATGCTTCATTTCTTTAATGTATTTACCTGGATGGCGATACTGCAGCATGCACATTTTTTAGGTACTGAATGTTTGAACTTCTGTGTTCATTGGTTTCATTATCAGAACAGGACTCTTAGCTTGTGAAGGATGACCCAAACTGAAGACAGTAGTTGAAATGTAGAGACTAGTAAAGCTGCTTGTTCTCTGGATTTACATTTACATGACCCAATGGGCCAGCAAAGAGAAGGACTTGAAAAGACAGTTAGAGTATTGATAACAGTAGTTCAGTTCATAGTTAGCTAAGCAATGGTTCATTTTGAAATATGACATTTTGCAGAAAACATATACATATTTATGATTTATGTAGTTTTTCTATCTATTTTGACAGAAGCATCAACATGTCACCTCATTCTCATTTACCTTTGTTCTTTCACTGGATGAAACCTGTTACCAATAGTAAAACTTTGAGTATTTATCTAATAATGTCATTAGGAAAGGAATGTTTTTTTCAGATCTCGTGGCTGCTAGTTTGCAACAAAAACTCCAAGAGACAAAAAGATGACATTTCATTCTGTTGTTTTTTAAACTGTGTCAAATTTACCAATGAAGCTTTTTCACAAATGGTTGCAAAATGTTATGAAACTGTTCTCTCATCACGTTTGTTGCTTTCAAGTAATCAGGTAAACAGTGAAACCAATGAAGAAAAAGGCTTTAGTAGAGTTGTAAATACAGACAGACTTTGTTTTCTGTTTTTTATTGTTGTCAATAAAGTGTCAATAAAACAAAAATGTTTGTGTTTTTTTAGTTTATGGTCCCAAGAAAAACATCTATCTATCTTCACATAGTTGTAGTTTTTAGTTTTCTGTTCAGTTCTGATGTTTACACTAAGGAGTGAGTCACATTTGTTTTGCACATTGATCACATGAAAGCGAGGCCTGCACCGACTCTAGCACCCCCCAACCCAGTAGGGTCCAACTGCAGCCTTGCAGACCGGGCAAAACCCTTACAAAACACGCCCACACACACACGATGCTACGGTGGCTGAGTAAGACAACAGAACGATGCAACCCAAAAATGAAACTATATTAATACTTAAGGTAGCAGTTTAAACATTTATTACACAAAATACCTTTTAGGGACAAGAACACTATGATATGTGCATTGGATTGCTGTTTTATTTATGTTGTGTTTGTCCCTACCAAACAAACATGAATAATAATTATATTAAGCAAAGACAAAAGGATTACACATATTACATGTATTTGAAATCGAATCTGAACAATATCAATGTTTTTATTATGATACAAATATATGAAGGCTTTGGGAAAACAAATCATTTTGAAAAAAAATGCATTAATGAAACAGCCCTATATAATTAAAAATGTATTAAGAAGAAAAGTTTAGGATTAGTTATTTATCATGTGACCCTTTGAAAAGTTAAAATAACTGCAGAACTTTCAACACGTGCATTTAACAACTTTATTTTACAATCTTCATTTCTGAATCACATTTTCCCCTATTCAGTTTATGTCGTGTCTCGAAAATGACTATAACTTCAGCTAATAATAGATTTTATATTCACACATTTGCTAAAACAGTAATTACTTAAACAGACTTGAGCAGACTGACTCCATTCAGTCTGCTCATTTACTACAAAAACCCTTAACTTACTTTTATTGTATTAATTAGCTTAGATTGTACAAGTGGGAGAGAGTGAGACAATTTTTAAAATGTTGAACATAACATCTTTACTTTACGATATTCTCTATGGTAAAACAAATTTGATCCCCAAACATTTTTTTAAATACTTAACTTTACAATGAAACAAGGTTTGTCAAAAATGCCATCACAGAAGGTTTTAACAACTAGGATTGATTAAGGAGATGAAGCTATACTGTTAAAACATCAGGGAGGTTAAGTCCTCACATTCAGTTGGGCCTTACATCCTGCTCAATGTTTAAGGGTAATAACACGTTTCTCCATGGAAACACAAATAAATGTTTAAAATAAATAAGTTACATAAATCTTTATAACATCTTTTCACTCTACACACAAGGCCTATATATATACACACACACACACACACACACACACACACACACACACACACACACACACACACACACACACACACACACACACACACACACACACACACACACACACACACACACACACACACACACACACACACACACACACACACACACACACACACACACACACACACACACACACACACACACACACACACACACACACACACACACACACACACACACACACACACACACCTCTCAAAAATATGCTGATTTGCAATATTCATAAAGATTTAAACCTACCAAAATCCGGTTTCAATGTTCTGACAGGACTTGGTTCTTGGTATCTGGAAACCTGTTCTCCATCACATCCCAGTTTATCATCACACAATGACACTTGTTCCACTTGTCCTGTTTTTGCACAATAGACAGCCCCGGAGAAATACTGCACTGGTAGTGTTTACCCGTATGTGGTTTGATAATAAATCCACTTCCTCATCTCCCTCCCACATCAGTAGAGAGCTGAGGGGAATGCAGTGAGAGCAGCCCCGGTAGGCTATGCCTGGAGCCAAGCCCTGCACACATTCTCTTTGTTATTTTGGCCATTGACTTACCTCCAAAGACAATTACACTGCTGCTTCAAAATCTAAATTTGACTTGTGTTGCTGGCTTGGTCGGGAGTAGGAAGAGTAGGGGTCACTTATCACGTTGTGTCTAGGTTTCCCTAGATCGGGGATATAACACAAAACAAAACATCGAGCAAAGGATTCTTGACTTTATTAATGAAAATAACTTATCAAGAAAAACATTTATTGTGTATAAATTAATTGCACATTAATCTGTGCCCTACTCAACACTGTTTTCACCGGACCACATTAATAACAAAATAAAATACTACTAATATAAACTACCCTTGGCAATCTAAGGCAACTTACCCCCTTGACAAGGAAGACCAATGAAATGCAAAATTCTGAGCTTAAACCTTTCCAAGTTTAAGAAAATGAAAGAAGGAACAGAAACCGAAAATCCAAAACCGAACCCCAAGGGAGACGCCACAAGATTTCACATCGAAAATCTTTTTGTAAAATGTTGGTGGCCTAGTTTTCAGGAAAGAAATAAGGGTCATTGTCTAACTTTCAAAACTAGTTTTGATAGTTTTCTGCCTTTGGATTAGCCTCGATGACAAGGAACCAAACACACCTAATTGTATACAGCTCCTCAGTATATAAAACTACAAACAGTTAATCATTCTGGTCAGGAAAAAAAACATTGATGTGAAAAAGGGTCAATACATATTTGTTTGGTTTCTTAATTCATACACAGAGACTGCTGAGAGCTGACTTTGCTCCAACAACTATGTATAATAATAAGTATTTGAGTCCAGGTATTGAGAAATAAGGATGACATAAAATCCAAAAATCTGATTGATACATTAAACAAAATCCTCACTGCAGATCCATCTGACGCTCTGTCTCTGTTAGACACTCATCAGACTACTGCTATGGAAGTAGAATTAAGAGGTCACTCACTCTTTGAATGTCAAATACTACAGGTATCATTGACAAACTTCAGAGGATATTTGATGTTTTTTTTCCAGCTTGGGTCTTTTTGCCACCATTTCTATTAGTCAGAATAAAATTGCACTCTCTATACTGCAGAGATTTGGAAGTTCAGTAACATTGCTATAGATATAAAAGTGTTTGTGCAGGAGCAAACTGAAAGAAGCTTGTCCTATAAAAAACATTGTTGTACATACTCTGGATTATTTACAGCCTGGGTGTTCACAATAAATATACTATTATTTAAACAGTCCCAAAACTGCAATACGTAATCTAAAAGGAATTATTACAGTAGCCGAATTTAACCATCTATTTTAAACATGTGCGATGGAAAAACTACAACCTTGCCTGGTACAGCACACATCTGTTAACATCTGGTATAACAAAACAAAATGGCCATAAAAAAATATTTTCTTATATTTAAATAACTCCAACAATATATGTGAGACATCTTGAAGTCATAAGGCAGAAATACAGTTTCCAGATTTGAATTTAAGACAGTTTAAATTCACCCGTACTGCACAGTGAAGTTGCATATGTCCTGTCTATTTTACTATGGTCTTCAGAGGATTCTGTTGGTCCCTACTGGCTTTACACTGCAGCACAGCATCAGAAAACAGATTGAGAAAATCCTCAAACATTTGGGAATATTGACACTTTCACCATGTGATGGCTTTGATATTAAATATGATCCAGCAAGTAACAGTATGACGACCGCTGAGCTTTTCATATGTGAGCTCCGACACATCATTCTGCACGCTGATCAACACAACAATACACACCTCTCATTTGAATGCTTAGGCTAAAATGCAGGCACAAATGTCTCTGGCTTTTGAAAAATTATTTAAAAAATATCTAAAACACTAAAATGTCACTCTTCTAGTCCATGTAAGACACGAGGTGATAAATAATGCTGCTCCACCAGAGCTGTCCTGAACATTCTCCAGATCTGAAGGAGTCAATAAGGCATCCTCAGGCTCTTTCTGACTCCCACCTGAAAGCCCTTCTCATTCTGAAACACAGGTATTTCCTGTGAGGGGAAACAGACATTAAAAGGAATAAAAAGAAGACATGTGGAGGAGTTCGAGAAGAGAGCAGTGGAGCCCACCACAGGTTGTCAATAAAAGTGACCCCTAACATCTACTAAGCACATCAAATGAGCTGAAAGTATTTTTTTCTGTTTAAAACGTGTGGAGGCTAGAACAGTATGTAATATGAAGGGGAACAACAGGAGCAGGATCATTCAATCAAACCACGAGACAGAAGTGTTGAAAACAGAAGAGCACACTGTAAACACTAACAAACGTGGTTCTCTTTTGTTCAGGTTCAACGGTATTTTCTCTGATTTTGTGTTTCTGCAGTGTTTTAGCCACTTTGAAGTTAACTCTGCTTTGAAAATGTTATTTATTCAGCACATTTTTGTTGACTGCCATGTTTTAGTCAATCCATTCACATATCCACTTCCTTGCTTTGCGTCCTTGTCAATGTCTCCAGTTCTAGAGGTTTAGTCTGGGGGCCATTAAGGCAAACTCTCTGAGAATTCCTCTGGCCACGTCGACTTTGTACTGGGCGATGGTCAGCGCCCGCTTCACGTCCTCAAAGGAGTAACCTTCCCCCATCAACTTGGCTATCTTGGCATCCACAGTCTCCAGGTCCAGGCTCTGGGGTTTACCTGGCTGACTGTCTAAAGGGATCTTCCTCGGGAGGGGCTTGGGCGGTCTGGCGGGGGCCTGTAAACAGTCCATGGAGACTTAAAGAGAAAGGAGAGAAATCATTTCAGACTCAGACCTTCACAAGTGTTATTAGTGACCATTCTTTACATTCTCTCACACACACACACACACACACACAAGTGTTATTAGTGACCATTCTTTACATTCTCTCACACACACACACACACACACACACACACACACACACACACACACACACACACACACACACACACACACACACACACACACACACACACACACACACACACACACACACACACACACACACACACACACACACACACACACACACACACACACACACGTATACATCAAATACAAAGCCAATTAAGAGATCAGTGAATACACCACTAAGCCACATGTCAGGGTTTAAAGAAAGGAGAAACAGAATCTAAACTAAAATGATTGACTTACTTCTTTAAAGTCTAAAAGTCTTTAAATGTCCAAACTGAAAAATTCCATTCTGAACAACATAAAGAACTGTACCGAAGTGACAACAAGAGGAAAAGAACACTGAGACAAAGAGGTAATCAGACCCTCAATCAAATGGAGGGAAACCAGACAAAGGGAGGACGAAAGACAAGAAACACAAATGAAAACAGGAAATACTTAAGACACAGGGAAATCAAGAATGTAACAATAGACACTAGGGGTCTTTTTCAAACCGGCCACTACACCCTCTCCCTACTCCTCCGTTCTAATTAAGTCCGTCCCAAACCAATTAGCGGGGAGTGGAAGTGGGTTGTAAAACCCTCCACCAGCGAGTGTGCACTAATGCCTTTCGGATCACGTGCAACGCCTATTGTGTCCGGTCGTCATGGATGAAGCAACCTGTGAGTTCAAACACTGCTCCAACTAAGATAGACATTTAATATCCTCATACAGACGTTAACAACTTCAAATGTGTACTAAGGATCAAATATATGTTTATTTATTTTAAAGTGTTTTATATTTACAGGGACTGTTGCAAAAAACAAAAGAATATTAAATCATGTTGCAGACAATTTTTTGCTGTTAATATTTATTTCTTATTTTTCTACTTTTGATGTCTTTGTGAAATCTCAATTCAACAATAAAAAAATACACTTTTTGCTGCTCTGATGTTCAACGATATTATCCATGTCTTTGGATTAATTTAGGACACCCTGATCTAAAAATTACAACAAATTAACTTAAATTATAAATTACAATAAACAATGAAGGCTCAATCTAATAGTTTGGTTATAAGTCTACACTAATATAACTAAAGAAAAAGAATAATAATCTAGGCTACATAAATATTTTTACAGAATGCATTAGCCACAAAAAAAAAGCCGTTACCGCAAGATACTGCTGAGTAACCATGGTAACACACAGTTCCTGTTTCAACCTGAGAGAGGAAAGTTTTTCCCAAAGCCTGCCGCTGTATTTCTACCCTACACCTTGATGAAGGGGACACGGAGGGAGAGGGTGTGTTTGATTTGAAAAAGGGCCTTCGACACAAGGATAAGAAATGACAAAATAAAACAGGAAGCACTCAAATCTGAAACACTAAACCAGAAACCTATTACACCTTAGCTGTGTGAAGTATAAACTAAATATTATATCACAGCCTTGTTCTGTCACATTTTCCCCCCCCAATATTTTTGGAGTTGGCACCCGTATCAATAATAAAGACCTGTCTTTAATATCAAGAGAGCAAATACTTATGAATTTGGTCTTTTATGTCCTGGAATACTAAGGGATGGCAACATATGGTCTGCCTGGTTCAAGGCCTAGAGAAAATAATACAACTGAAAATAGACCTAATGAGGTGAATTGGGTCAAGATTAAAAGATGGTCACAGGACTTCTTCTTCATGTTGTCTTCTCTCCACAAAACAAGAGTAAAATGTACAGAGTAGGGAAACTGTGTGGCTGCTATTCTGCTTGAATAGCAAAAACAGAATGTGCTTTGTGAGATGTAACTCTACCTTGACTGTCTTTTAAAAAGCTGAATTCTAGGCAGCATCTGGAGCCTTTAACATGTTCTGTATGTCTTCTGAGCGGAGGCAGAGGAACAGCATTGTTCAGCATGTCAATTACTGTGTCTAAACCACACAAAACATGGAGATAGTTAACAGAGTCATATGATATATTATGAACCGTGTGATACTACTTCTTATGAGAGAGCTCACCTGGGGTTAGAAGCAAGTGATCCTGACCAGAGGACAGCCGATGTGGTTTTGTAAGGGCTGAGGAGGAGGAGGAGGAGGAGGAGGAGGAGGAGTTACAGGATGAGAGATCTGTGAGGCTGTGTCGAGCTGGTGGAGGAGGTGGAGGCTGGGAGGGTGGGCCGCTGTTAAAAGCGTCTGTTAAAGCTGAAACAGGACAGAATCCAAAACTGAGCTCTATGATATGATGACAAGTTCATACATATTCAACAGGGAGGTGGCTGACACTGCAACACAAACAAAACACATGATAGAGAGCGGCTGCCATGGTGGCCTTCAGAAAAAAAACAAGGAAGGCTCTTTTTCTGATATAAAACATAGCCATGCACAGAACACAAGTGTATGTGTTTGTCTCGGTAGAGATACAGTCCTCAAATCCATCTCATTAGATAGATAGATAGATAGATAGATAGATAGATAAGGCATCAAACTTAAAAACACTGTGAGTAACAATAAGGCAGGCCTATTTGAAACATTTTCTTGCTGTTTGTCAATAGCATCACAATGTCTATTGATTACTATTTAAAGGAAAACCAAATGAATGTTGCACATGTACTGCCAGTGGAAGGAAAATATGCATTTCCTGAAATGGTGCTAAATACATTTTGAATTAAGATTTGACTTGAGTTATTTTTTGTGTGGTTTTGAATCTTCATATCTCTTGATAGTGCATCAAAATGAACTTCAGTCAATAAAAGCATATGTGAAGACTGAAAGAGACAGGTATCCCTCGACGGATCACTGAAATCCATTCAATGAAGAAAAAAATGGCAAGAACAAATCATTTTTGACATATGAAGTGGTTCACCTGAGCACACAGCTGTGATGGCCAATAAATGGTAAATGGACTTGAGCTTATATATCACTTTTCTAGTCTCCTGACTACTCAAAGCACTTTTACACTGCATGTCACACCCACACATTCACTGATGGTAGTGATCCCGATGTAGTATCATCCATCAGAAGTAACTAATCCCATTCATACACCACCACCAAAGCAGTGGGAGCAATTCAGGGTTAAGTGTCTTGCCCAAGGACACATAGGACATATTGCCCAGCTGGGGATTGAATCCTTGACCTTCTGGTTGAGAGGCGACGATTCTACCAACTGAGCCACAGCCGCCCCCAATAGGATGGGCTCAGATGGAATGTAAACTGGGACAAGAAGGTTAGGGCCCAGTGAGATGGGGGTGAAACTACCTTGAGGGGGCAGCAGAATGTCATAGTCAGATGATGAATTGTTGGCGTTGAAGAGGCTGGAGGCAGCATGTGACGCCCCCCTGAGCGAGTCTGAGTATCCCCCTAAAAAAACAAGCAGAGCGCAGCAAAACAGTTTACACAGCTATTTTAAAAAGGGCACAGCATGCAATTAAGATATCACACTTAGAACAACCATTTAAAGAAGTTTGCATTTCTTTACGGATTTTTTTCTGTTTCTGTTTTTCATCAGGCTTAATTTTTTTTAAACAAGATAGAATAAAACCCCTACTCATTTTACAACATTGGAATAAGAACCTGAAAAAACAAACAAACAAACAATTGATCTGTAGTTGAAACCAATAGCGTGATCAGCGGATTAAATGACTTGTTTAGATGTGTTCTTAAGTATTTTGTGCAACACATTCATCCTGCTTTCTGAAACCTTAAATGGATACTTCATCCGTTGAAACATGAATCTGTATTAACATTGGGTCATATATGTAGTAGAAATGTGAAGTAAATGTTGAAGTTGGTGCCTTCTTGGCCGTGAAAAGGCAGAAAGTGTCTTTTTGGCTCATGTGGATGAAAGACACCAAATCCCAGAATGCACAGCACCGCAGACCACTCCCACTAAGGTCTTCTAGTTCAGAATCAGAAATACTTTATTAATCCCAGAGGGAAATTCGATCGATACAGTTTCTCCAAAATATACAATATAGCAGTAGAAACATAGTAATAAAAACATTTACAGACATATTTACTTCAACACATAAGTCCGTTTCCATCTGAACTCATTCAGAGGGAAGGAATTGGTATCTTGTAAATTCCTGGCAGAAAACAGACTCTATGTCTGTGTCCATAGTCAAACAGTGAGAGCACCGACACTACCAGTCAGCCCCAGCTCGAGCCGGCCCCGGCTCCTCGTCCTCACCGGCAGGCCTTATGTCTTGGCTGCTGAGCTGAAATGGTTGCTGCTGACAGGCCGGTCTTGTGACGCGGTGGCAGCAGTGGCTAGCGGCGGCCCCGGCGGCCGGTGGGCAGCGGCAGCAGCAGCCGAGACACAAGACCGGCCTGTCGGCAGCAACCATCTCCCCGCTATATGTATATTTTTTTCGCCATTATCACCAAAGCCTGTTAGCATAGCTTCCAAGTAATATGGCGGACGTTAAGTTTCGATTCTGGGAGTGAGTTCCCACCCACTGAACTGTGATTGGTCTGTAGCGTCAGTGGTCGAAAATATGAGGAACTAGCGTTGCAGTTTCACCCTGCTAACCGCAACAGCTTCCAATGATGCAATATGATGATTTTTGCATCACTGGAAGCTCCTTTTCAGACTTAGAAATACAAAGATTTCCCATCTCAGGGGAAAATGAGGGCGGGATGCACGACCATTCAAAAACACTACCAGGTTTCTAATGATACAAAGCTTAATGCAAATGGGTGAAGTATCCCTTTAAGTATGATTAAAACATTATCTATGTATATATATATAAGAAAATGGGATCAGTATATGTAGATTGTGTTCGCGGACAGACGCTTGCATATCCAATTGAAACATTTTGAGCCATGTCATACATTTTCTTTGGATTTGAGATTTGAGATTTGCAGAATTGAAAAGTTTCTACATCAGAGCTGTCAATGATTTAAAAAGTGTAAAGATAACATGAATATGATGTTGAATAATCTCTGTTGGTGTAAGGACTCACTGGGCTCAGGGCTAGACTTCTTCTCCTTGATGCAGGACTCTGGAGAGCTGTTCTCAAAGTTTCTGTTGACAAAGGTTCACAGCAGTTTAATTTTACTCTTGGTGTATCGTCATGTTAACACTTTGAGAAGAGGCCGGTACCTGCTGGGTATAGAGAGGCAAAGGGGGGCCTGACTCAGGCAGAGGTTGGATGAAGGGATCTGGTAATCCTGCACCCTCACCATTGCTCCACGCTGATTCTCCACCACAGCACTGCTGACAGGGTTGGACAGACTATGGTTATGCTAACTTACTTCTGGGTTTTAGGACTCGTTCCTGTGGCGCCCTATTCACAGTATGAATAAGTATTAAGAGTGTTTAACTGCAGTCAGGTAAAAGTGAGGGGGGAAACGTATCCCTAAAGAGTGCTCATTTGAAGGGGTAAAATTAAGAGTTGATGGCTAAATTATGTGAACTCAGATCACCCCCTTCAAAGTGAGTTTGACTTTTGACCCTCATTGTCTTAGAGCTCCTGTGAGGAAGACTAAAAGAGTTTAAATTTGTACTTGTTCTTTTAGATTTAACTGCTGCATTTGACACTGTGGATCATAATATCGTGATCTCTCGTTTGGAGCATTAGGTGGGCATCAGGGGCATAGCACTGGATTGGTTCAGGTCATACTTGGCTGATCAAACTTTCTGTGTCAGCCTTGGTGACTTTTTACCCTCCTCTGCTCCTCTCTCGTGCAGAGTCCCACAGGGCTGAATTCTACGCCCTCTCCTTTTCTCTCTGTATTTGCTCCCACTAGGTTCAATACTTAGGAAGCATGGCATTGCATTCCACTGTTATGCAGACGACAGTCAAATTTATGTGCCACTTAAAAAGAACAATGAATACTCTGTTCGACTGTTGTTTGAGTGTCTAGATGACATAAAGGCCTGGATGGCTCTGAACTTTTTAAATTTTAATGATAAAAAGACAGAAGTGATGGTTTTTGGGGGAACCACTGGGACCCCCCCCCTGTAGATCTGGGTTCCTTGGCCCAGTATTCCAAAAAATGCATCACAAATCTAGGGGTGGACCCTGATCTTAAGCTTGACAGTCAGATTAAGGCTGTCATAAAATCAAGCTTTTTCCATTTGAGGCAGCTGGCCAAAATAAAGCCAATTCTTTTAAGGCAGCACTTTGAGACGGTAATCCACGCCTTTGTTACCACACGACTGGATTACTGTAATGCATTGTATGTGGGGGGTTAGTGGGTCCTCCAGATGGTACAGAATGCAGCTGCACGTCTTTTAACTGGAACACGTAAATATGACCACATTTCCCCCATTTTAGCCTCACTCCACTGGTTGCCCATACAATTGAGGATCAATTTTAAAATTATTTTATTTGCTTTTAAATCTTTTAATAGTCTTGCCCCCGCCCTACCTCTCTGAGCTTCTACACCCATACACGCCCACCCGCTCTCAGGTCAGCTGATCAGCTGCTCCTGAGGGGGCCTAAAACCAAGTGGAAGCTCAGAGGGGACCGTGTGTTTGCTGTTGCGGCTCCAAAATTATGGAACGATATACCTCAGCACTTTAAACAGGCCTCTTCTCTGCCTGTTTTTAAATCTCGTCTTAAGACCCATCTCTTTTCCCTGGCCTTTGACACACAGTAAGACGTCGACTTATTTATTTATTTAATTTATTTTTTGCATGCCTATTCATTTTACTGATGTTTTATGTCTTTTAACTTGATTCTGTATTTCACATGTAGTTTTCTTTTATCTCATGTGAGCTGTTATGTATTTTATTTATTCTTCTGTACAGCACTTTGGTCAACTGTGGTTGTTTTAAAGTGCTTAACAAATAAAGTTGGATTGGATTGGTACCCAGTGCAAGTATGTTAAACAACAACAAGCCCTTTGTTGCTCTTTCTGCACACTGGCACACCTCCACTTTGCACTTTAATAACTTTGTAGGAATTCTCAACTTGGTATGAGCTTGACTGATTTTATTTGGTTTTGTATTTTGTTGTCTGATTTTTTTAATTTGTAAAGTAAAAGCCCGTTCATTTTCTCCATAGCAGATTTGATTATTAGCCATGATGTCATAATCATCAAACTGTTGCTGGCTCTTTAACTTTTGATCAGTTTTTTTACATTTTTATATTTTTGATTTGTATTTAATTGTGCACTGTGTTTCTTTTGTTGGCTGTCCTGCTTTGCTGCTGTAACACTGTAAATATCTCCACTGTGAGATGAATAAAGGATTATCTTCTCTTATTATCGTTCTATAGATAGATACCAAGAGCATATAGATACATTCGTCTTTCAGGGTCACATGCACTAATGCCTTTCACAAACTTGAATGAACAGGTGTGTTGCCTTAGCAAGCCTTTTAAAGGTTAGCTAAGTGTTAGCATACTATGTGGAGCAGCAAATCACAACTTGAACCTATTTGATCTTACCACTAAGTAAAACCACTTCAGTACAAAAACAACATCAGGTTTCTAAACCTTTCAGAACCCAACAGCATCTTGGATTGATAATACATGAGTGTCAAACTATCTTTTTTCAGACTTGAAAATAAATTCACAATAAGTAAAACCAGTTCCATAATCAGAATCTAAACCACTTTCATGCTGCAAAATGTGGGCATCATATAAATTGAAGTTCTGTGACCACATTTATTTCAGATTTGAATATGAAATTGGGTTGTGACATTTTAATCTGGTAATCACTTAGGTATGCATTCTGACATGTTTGAGTCCAGCCAGCAACTTTTTGCATTTAAACCCCCCTGCTCCCATGTATCCTGTCTGTCTGCCTGTCCCCCTTCAATCTAATGGAAAGAAAAATGTATGTATGTTTTTGTTTCTGAAATGTAACCTGTGCTCACATACTGCATGTGTTAATCCATCTGTGTAAAGGAAGTGTGTTTATTCCACTTTGACTAATACTTTGCAACCAGAACTTCCCCTTTTGACACAAGCTGCATCAGAAGTGACATCTCTGAACACTACTTCACTAGAGCTCATTATGTAAAAGAATCCTAATGTAATTATTACAGCAGCTAAATGCTTCTTAGCTTTGCAGTTAGCATTTTCAAAACTGTTTCACACCAGGAATTCTCCCTAAGGCTACCCAACCTCCCTGCTAAACATCCCTTGAGACAGTAAGAATGGTCAAGAAATGGAATAGAGGACAAAAAAGGGATGTTTAAAGTAAAACAAGAATTTGTGAGTGTGTGTGTTTGCACTTACTTTTGGCTACTGGTCATTGTGGACAGCATTGGTGAGTCTCGTGGGGGAAGGATGTCATACTCGTCATTGTCTTGAACACCATTTGAGAAGGGCTGTACACCAGAGAAGGACAGGGGAACTTCAACAAATTCAAATACCAGTAAGGAGTAGTATGTTATTCTATTATCTTTTCTGTTCTACAACAGATTTGATTCAGGTCACACTCCCTAACCCGCCCACCAGAGCACAGACCAGCATGCATTGCCCAGCTCATCAGCCCACTCACGCCCCTCAGCAGCACTTTGACTTCTCCAGTTCCTTCTACACAATCCAGCTCTAGGTGTTCATGAGTAGACCTGGCTGCATGGACAGTACTTCACTAACAGACTATTTGAGAATTCAGGACTGTGTGTTTCACATGGAGGTCTAAAGTGCATCATCACATTATCGTGGGTTTGGTATAAAAGGAAACTGAACAGGACCACAGCTAGGTCATCATGGACTTTGTGGACTGGTGTGAACCATCTTCAACACCAGCTAGACAAAGAAGATGGTGGAGACGCCCTGGTAAACATGCAGGGATTGGACCATTGAGAAGGTGGAGACATACAAATACCTGGGTGTTCACCTGAACAACAAACTGGACAGGTCAGACAAACACAGCTGTCTGTATAAACAGGGCCAGACTGCAGCTGCTGAGGAGACTGTGCAGTTCTAAGGACAGGAGGGAGAACAGAGAGGGACAGAAAGAGACCCAAAAATCTGGCCAGGATCTTTTTTGGAGAGGAGGATGTTATCAAAGCTGACATCCATGTTGGACTGTGAAGCCTTAACCAGCTCTGTAAACAGCACACCTTTTTTACCCATCCTGCAACAAGTAGGCCTATTGTAGCTCATTCATGCCATCTGCTGCTATACTTTGGAAATCCAGTGTCCCAACTACAAGCAGAATGAGTCTCAGTTTCCTCTACTATAATCACCCACATACTCTACAGTATCCCATTATTATCAGACCTCTTTAACAGGTCATTCTAATCTATCATAAAAGCTCTTAAAAGTCTACTGTGTCTGAACAGCAGAGCATTAGAAGAGGCTGTTACTAATGAAGCAGAAACTAATACTATACTATACTAAATACGGTTTCAGTTAGTAGGAGTTAGAGATGTGTACATGTTTTTATCAGAGGAGGGGGGTAAGGATCTAGGAGGTCTGTGTGTGTTTGTGTGTTCTGAACAAAGCTTTGATGAAACTTCATAGAATTTAGAAAAGGTATGGGGGATATAGATATTAACGTTTGTTCAAAAAAACCACTCAGGAAGCCAGAAGGTGACCATAGTTTCAGCCTTTTCAATCCTTACAATCCTCACACCAGGTTTAAACAGAAATCCTAATCCTACCTTGCAGCTTTCTGAGTTTCCTGTCCTGTCCATTTTGTGTAACTTTCCAAATTCTGCAGATGGACAACTGAACGGTCGTCCATTCAGGTGAGGGGGGACACTGGGTCCTAGTTGGAGCAGATGCTCAGATCCAGTCCTATGGTCCTCTGAAAAGGGGCTGTCCCTGGAGCAACATGTCTGAGGGGTTAGCACACTGGTAGAAGAAGAAGTGGGAAGCCAAGAATTGCGTTTCTCTGAGGGGATGAGAGGAGGACGTTCAGGCGGAGGTAGAGGAGGCGGGTCCCTCTGGGGGGGAGGTGGTGCTGGAAGAGGCTTGTCCTGCTTTCTGGACATGCTTGGTGAAGACTAAAGAAATGGAGAGATATGCTTCATACGCTGATATTACAGAAGACAATCTCAACAGCTTGGAAAACGTTTTGTTTAGTTTGTAGGATGGGCAAGGCTTGGGAGAAATATGCACACAATCCAAATAACCATAAACTTCAGAGGCACCACTGTTTTGGCATCAAGTCTTTGTTCATTCCCAAGCTGCCACATTCAAATATTCAGGTGAAATATAAAACTTGCCTTTTGACTGAAAGTTGTGCCCAAAGTTTTTTTCCGCAACCATTCCCAAAGTTTTAAGCTACTGAGAAGAAATTAATTACTATCCTTTAGAAAGTTAAACATAGCTTACAGCCATCCTGGGTCGTTAAACTGCTTTTAGACAGTTTTTATATTTTTGTATTCCTATGTTTTCTCTGTTTGGCATCTGTTTCATGGGTTCACATCTGTGTAAATATAATTCTTGTGGACCCTGTTAAGCTCTTCCCAAACTTATATGAAATATGTTTCAAATGTATTTGTGTCAGTCCACTGGTAACAGACTTTAAAGATGATGTACAGGAAACTGCAGGTAACCCAATATTCTTGTTCTAGTGAGAAGGCAGTTCCTCACCTTCGGGGAACTGCTGGGACTAGAGGATGGGGAGTGGATGGCGCCCTTCTGGATAAGGTCAAGCCGGGGTGGAACAGGAGGAAGGCTGAGGTGCTGCAAGCAGTGACTCTGGTCTCCCCCATGAGCTTTTCTGTGTTGGCTGACAGGTGAGGAACTAGGAGACACCATGGGGGAGTTCTGGCGCTCAGCACAGTGCTAAAAGAAAACACAAATATCTCTTACTGTAAGTCCTTCATTATCAGCTGTTGTGTGTTGTCACAATAGAAATGCATCATCTGGCCTCGTACTCACCCAGCTGAAAACTTTGATCTAAAAATAAATACATTTTAAAAATAGTCCGACTTCTTCAAATCCCCATGTAACATAAGAAAAACATTTCTGAAGAGTAAAATGTGACTTTAAAGTGAAGCTTTTGTTGAGACTTGTGTTTGGACAACTTTGGTACAGAAACAGGAATGATTGCACACACTAAGTATATTAATGACTCTGTGTACAATATGATCACACTACTTTGATCCTCATAAATAATGTGTTTTCAATACATACACTACCAGTCATAAGTTTGGACACAACAGTAAGTCTTCTCAATAATATATTTTATTATTATAATATAGCTACTGTACGCTGTATCTGCAAAACTACAAATTGAAAGGCTTTTCTTTATTTTGTAATATTTTCCACAATTTAGAATAATACTAGATATTAATACAATAAAAGCATTTAATTTCCTTTCGGAAAGAAATGCATACATCCGTAGGCATCAACTTCAATATTTCTATTTATTTAAGAAACACATGTCAGACATTCAAGCATACGCTTTTGTCGCATATGTCTTTAAGTTAATAACATGCATTTCAATCAGGTGTCCAAATATTTGACTGGTAGTGTAGGTAAAGCCCTGTTGCTTCTAGTGTTACAGCAACCCAATCAGCACATTGGAGGAGGGAACAAGTTCATTTGATGTTTCAGAATTGAAGTAGAATCATTCATTTAAGAACCTTTTCTGAAAAATATTTCCATATAACTGATAAGAATCCTGTTTTTAGATTCTGTCTTTTTAGAGTGCTTTACTTATTACAACACATGTAAGAGGACTTGAAACAAACATTTAGAAACCATTTTATTCATATTGCAGTTCGGCTAAGACTTATAGTCTTATAGTCTTAGTATTACTTTAACCACTCTAGATGTGCTGTATGAAGCTCCTACATTTCACCTTTTTTACATTTTGTGTCTTCTATTTTTTATATTTTAAATTTTTAAATTCTATTTTATATATTGTAATAGCTTCTTATACTGTATTATTTAAGTTGTTGCTAGTTCTGCTTTATTTCCTTGTTAATTGTTTAGCACCAATACACCAAGTCAAATTCCTTGTGTATGTGTAAATGTACTTGGCAATAAACCCTGATTCTGATTCTGAAAACTTACAAAACTTTCCTAATGCATCAGAAAGCAAAATCGGTGACTGGTAATATCTCATAAGGGTCTTGGACTCAGATGTGGCAAGAAGTCAGGGTAGTAGACGTAGGACATAGCTATACCCTGAGAAGGAGAAGAAAGTGAGGCCATTTACAGGAGTTCTGTTTTAACAAAAACAAATGTTGCTAGGTGTCATCTAAAGGTCACTGAAATGCAACATTTTGAAGCTTTGTCTTTTAGTTGAACAGTGGAGAACTTGGAGTGGCAATTCCTTAAAAAAAATTATTGACAATGTCCAAAGTGTATTTCACATTTTGAAAAGGGACCAGGCCTCAATACATTTGTGGTCAGTAGCCCAGGCAGTGAGGGGGACCTATGTACAAATCTGTTAGAACATGTACCTCATAGACTTAAAGGTCATGTCAAATACTCTTCACCATATTTTTCAAATACAAATATGTGTCTGTAGTTATGATGAGAAAAGTCCATCCTCTTCATCTTTTACCTGCTCCACTTTGCAGAGAATGTGTGCTCAAACAGGCCGTTTGGAGATTCTCCCTTTAAGACTTAAATAAACTTAGTGTCTACATTCTGCAGCAAAAGGATATGTTGGACATTTCAAAATAGTCTTAGCACCACCTGCTGGCCACAGAAAGCAGGCTATGTTTTACAAATATCATCATTTCTAGTTCATCATTTGAATAATTATTCATGGACCACTAATCACAGTTTAGTAATAATGTAACAGCTATAGTTAGAGATGATCTAGTTACATGTGACAAACATTAGTTTACATTAAATCCTGACCTGGCATTCATGGAGCCTTCACAAATGGGCAGCCATGTAAACTAACAAGACTTTTGAACTGAGCACTGGAAGCCAGATGATCCTCTTCAGCGCAGGGACGAGGCATCAACGCTTTCCAAACAGAAAGGAACATTTCAGCTTGTCACACCTCAGGATAGTTTTCTGCTTTCATGTCTTTTTATGCAACTGTCCCAGCTTGTTTAAGGTTTTTGTTGGCATGAAATACAAACTGGGCATAATGACATCTCAGTTTGAACATTTGACTTCTAATCTTTGTGCTTTTAATGTTTTGCAAATCATTACATTTTGTTTCATTTCTTAAAATTTTAAAATATTGTCAAAAATAAAATGAATACTTTAAATCCTAAAGCCACAAATGTTTCTGCATGCTTACTATAAATGAGTTTAATAAAAATAGAGGTGACCTTTACCCTGTAAAAAACAAAAAAGAGAAGCAGGATGCTTTATGCCCTTTCCTTAGTCAATAGATTTAGGTCCAGGTTATTATAGAAGATATTTACCTTTCTGATGTTGGCCAGTCCATTCATAACCAGGCAGTCCTCTCGGTCTTCATCGTCATCCAGTTCCAGGAAGGGGCAGCTGTGCTGGTCCAGGAAGAAGCACTTGTTGCCCTCATTTCGTGGGTCAAAGGGATCCACAATTATGGGCTCAGTGCCTTTGATTTCACATCGACAGAAAGGACAACCCTGACCATCTGATTCCTGGAAACACACACACACACACACACACACACACACACACACACACACACACACACACACACACACACACACACACACACACACACACACACACACACACACACACACACACACACACACACACACACACACACACACACACACACACACACACACACACACACACACACACACACACACACACACACACACACACACACACACACACACACACACACACACACACACAGTTAAGTTTATGAGCTGCTTCACTACTGCTACATGTCTCACCCCCAACCAACCCCATTCATGAATGGAAGCCATGCTCATATAGACACTCAAAATGGAAAACTTGAGTGCAACTTCCCCACATTTATTGTTCCCACGTGCATATTCCACAGGGCAGCTGTTGTAAAACAGAAATGATCATTTCAGTGAATCTCTTTCCATTGCCCTCTCACAAGCTCCAATCACACAATGTAAGAAAAGAGCAAAGCTGCATTTGTGGCAAACATGTACAGGAGTTGTGGGAGGAGATGCTTGAATTGTTATAGTGATCATCAGTGTGGGTGAAAGAGGAAAGAACCCCTTTTATACATCTTGTTAACATAGACTCCTGAGTCAGATGACATCTAAAACAATATTAACACATTCACACTTTGTAAAGTTAAAATAGTGTTAGCACACACAAGTAGGAAAGAGGCTGATAGCTAAATAAGAGCCTTTGAGGTTCTCTGTGAAACATTGTGTGATTAGTTGATGCATTGTTCAAGTTTACAATCAAAATAGTCATTAGTTGCTGCCCTAATTGTTATTCTACATTTTTAATGGGATAATTTCACTTTTTAACCAAATAAAGGTTAGGTTGAGAAGTAGAATCCTAGACTTCTTGAAAAATTAAAGTTTCCAAATAAATACCCTACAGAAAGAATCATAATCATTGTGAACTGTGAAGTACAGCATACTATGAGGAAACAGGTTTTCATCACATCGAACATGCTGACTCCATCCTCTGTGAAAATGACTAATGATTAATCTCCAGATAACGCACTTGGTCAGACACACAAACCTACATATCTAAATCTGTCTCATGAAATCTAAAACTATTCTCCCACAGTCTGTAGAGATTCAAAGTATAGACACGAAAGAGAGAACAGGATGTGGAACTGCATAGATCGACATCTAACTGTGTGTGAGAAGTGTGTGTTATACTAATGTTCAGAGTGTGAGGAGAGTCAGGGAATGACCACTGAGTCAACGAGCTGAGCGTGTTACGTACTATCAAGAAGGCCCCCCCTCTCGAAATCACTAGTTAATAATAATAATAATTATTATAATTATTCTTTATTTGTATAGCAGTTTTCAATACAGGGAACAAATTGCTTCACAGAAGACAATAAAAGCAAACAACTAATGAAAGCAAAAAAGAAAAATATCTCATTAGTGAAGCATTCTAACATTTACACACACTGACATACAAAGTTGAATGTGTGGCTGTAGTGGGATACATGGAGAATGTGTCACATTCAGCTGTCATAACAGGAAGTATGACAAACAAACACAGTTGACGTCATTGCTGCCAAATCCTGTAAGAGAGTCTAGGACTGTGCTCTCACTATGATTTTCAGAGAAAAGTGCTGCTGCTTTGAACGTCTTCAAACATAGCAGAAAACAAACCAAATCAAACAAGACAAGTCATATTGTACTGTCAGTGGACACGCTGTTGGGTTTTTAAATAAGCTGTAGGTATTGTTGCCTGTACACTTTTACTACGGACTGTTGGTCCTTTGTCCCTTAACTCACTCACGCCCATCATGGTGATATCCATGGTAGTTATGTTTTATATGTATGTATTTATGTCACTGTGCTGTTTTTTATGGATGTATTGACTACCTCTGTTGCAAACCAAATTGCCCCTCTGGAACAATAAAGATTTTCCAAATCCAAAAAACAGGTCATTATTCAACTAGACATCTCAACTGAAAATGACCTGTTGCCAAGGTAACCAAACCTTTGTTGGCTTCAAAATGTATTTTAGTAAAAAAAAAGGTATGACTGACTTTCACCTGCAGAAGTTAAACAAAACAACATAATACAGACTGTTATTAAATGAGGTCTTAAATATATTTAGCAAAACTTTAAACAGTGACATACCTGCCAGGCTGTAAGACAGGAAGTACACATCAGGTGACCGCAGGGTTCAATCTTGACATCTTTGTCGTTTTCAGCACATATCTTGCAAAGCTGGAAGGTGGAGCCCATCTCACAGTATAGCTCATACTGCTCCTGTACAATCAGGGAAAACATGATGAATATAATAAGAACACACACACATACAGCATACATTATGTGTTCACAATTTCCCATCAATAACTCAGAGGTATTCCATGACCTTAAACTGTCATGATTAATGTTCTTTTCAAAGGATGAAGAGTTGTAATCAAATGACAGACACTATGCTTGTGACCCATCTGTTTAACACAGATGTTTTTTTTTGGGAAAAATCAAATTAAAAAAAAAAGTTATCATATAAGAAAATGGCTGCCACACATAACAAGCCTCTGGATTTCTCTTACTACACATGAAACATATTTCAGTTTAGTAGGCAGTATTCAGTACAAAATGTTTGAATATGTAGAAGCAGTATGTTAGCCGTCTTGTCCCGCTCTGATTTGTATTTGTGTTTCTGCTCTATTGACATTATTCCATTATTCATCAGCGGCACGCTCAACATACACACACACACACACACACACACACACACACACACACACACACACACACACACACACACACACACACACACACACACACACACACACACACACACACACACACACACACACACACACACACACACACACACACACACACACACACACACACACACACACACACACACACACACACACACACACACACACACACACACACACACACACACACACACACACACACACACACACACACACACACACACACACACACACACACACACACACACACACACACACACACACACACACACACACACACACACACACACACACACACCCACTTGTGTCACTTTGATGTGATCATGAGGGGTTGGCTCACATAAACCAGTGAGATCAGGATTGTAACTGCGACCATCAGGGAACAGGTAGCTGCGGATGAAAAAACAGTTTGAACTACACAGAAAGATATCTGCACCAAATATTTTCACTTCACTTCCAACATGTTATCAAGTATGGATTACAGGAATTGTTTTTATGTGTTGATATTTAATATTAGATTTATAAATATGATTAAAACCAATTGTAATATGGCATTTTCCTTTTCCTAAATTTAAAACAATATGAGTTGCTAATGCCTCTTCAGACTTCTAGCCATCAGTAATTACTCAGTTTACAAGGTATGATGATGACTTTTCCTAACACAATCCTCTTGTTTGGGGTGCTCAGACCTGGTATAAACATCAAATCAGAAGTGGACAGCTCGAAGTACATGTGTTCATACATTCCTTACTAAGGAACATGGATCAGGTACACAAGGCTCCATTAGAGACGGAAGAATACGTAGGAAGGAGAGCGCAAAAAAGAAAATATCTTTGAAGAGACATGAGACATCATGTGAAGTCAGTTAGTGATGATAATATCAGATCAGTTGATCAGTTGGGTTTAAACAGCTGATTGTGTCACACATGTTCACTGTTTCATTCTAATAAAATGTCTACAATAATTTTGTCTCTGTATTTTACCTGATAGCAGACATCTACACACGGTATTTACTGATCATGTTGTGAACTCTGTGTTTTATAAACTTTTGGATTGTGTCATAAACTCTCTGTCTGTAGAGGGCGCTGGATGTTCCTCATGTGTGGAGGCTGTTTGTTCAAGTTTGGCCTCAGTTAAAATTATAAAACAATGATCAAACTTGACACTAAGTATCGATCAGCCTTATATTAACTACATGGACAGGATGATGTAAAAAGTGTTTGATAGACTCCCACTCTCATATTTAAGTTATCGTCATAAATCAAGAATGATACACAAAGTTATGTTTTATTCTCAATCCTCCTGTCAAACACTTTTTTGAAAATCCCAGGAGCTGATTGATGTTTCTGGTCTGCTTCAGTGTCCGGTGTGTCTGTTAAACATCTGTTTTTTTAGGGTTGGAGCCCAATATTCGGCTGTTTGAATATTCGTTTGTCAGGTAGGCAATCGATTGTTTATTTTGGGATTCGAATATTCGGCCCAAGACACATGAGCATATAGACTAATAAACCCATATAGACAAATGTGTCCTTGACCACCTCTTTACAGTATGTGGCCCGAGTGATCAGATCGTATTAACTGTATTTTCTGTGGATGTTGATAGCAGGTGTAAACAGGCTCTAAAGAGAGTGTGTAACAGGTTACTTACAAACCCTCCCTGTAACCATCGATGAGGGCCTGGAAGAGCGGCTTGTTGTTGGGGATGGTCTGTAGAATGTTTCCATCATTGGTCACATAGCCTATGGCCCACTGGCCGAGCCGAGTACAACTTAATCTGAAGATATAACTGTTAAAAGAGAAAGATGAAAAATTCAATGTCCATTTTTTTAGTTGTAATATTAGCTACTTGTCAACATAAAAGTGACTTTTAGATGAATTATATGACGAAGATTCAGATAAAATGGTTCATGTTCAAAATCTTTTTTTTAATTCAGCACCAAATCAAATAATAGTGCATACCAAGAGTCTTTATATATTACACAGCAGTATCGTTTCATGACATTTTGCTGTTACAGCTTGCAGTGGTTTATTCATTGTATTTTTCTGTATATGTTGTGTTATATGTATTCTTATGTAAAACATGCAGAACAGCAGATGGATAACTGTGAGTTATACATAACAACTCCATTTAATATTGTTTATTCATTGCACTTCCTATCATTATGGCATGAATGGAAAATTGTATTGCACATCACACATTTTTCACATATCCTGCAGGCCTTTTACAATCAAAAAACCTTTATTACATTCAAAATGTTCAAGCAGATAAGGCCTCATGGTGCCTCATATGAAGTTAAATGAACTTGATGTGATTAAGGGGTGAAGATGCAACATTGTTGTATTCTTCATTTGGTTTGGTTTGCCTTTACACTGAACTTTGTCAAGCACATCAGAGCCTTTCAAATGTTGTGTACAATAGTACCCGCCACTAGTTGGAGCTGTAGCTCCAATCAGTGGCTACTGCCATGGAGCCTAATGCTGCACTGTATCCTGAATAAACAACAGGACAGTGGAAGAATTGCATCTCATAGTGTAGCGCAGTTTGGCAGTATTTGATCAAATAAAGTGTTTTGTCAGCTGTGTCAGATTATACTGGCATATCAATTGGCGCAATATGTAACCAAATTTAAAACAGGTATGTGGACGTTAGCCTGCAAGGAGGGCTGAAGGCTAAATGTTAAATGGACTTGAGCTTGTATAGCGATTTTCTAGTCTAATGATGCAGGTCACACCTACCCACTCACACACTCAGAGGCTGCTAAGCCAAGTGACCTTCAGAAGTAACTCATTCCATTCATACACATTCAAATGATGTCGCCGCTGATGCAGCAGGAGCAATTTGGTGTTAAGTGTCTTTCCCAAGGACACATCGGACCTGTTGCTGCAGGACCTTTCAGTTGATAGAAAACCAACTCTACCAACTGAGCCGTCCCTGATGTTGTTAGCAATGCTAACATTAGCCATACTAGGCAAACCTATTTGACATTGTTAACAGACGGCCAGATTCAACACCACATTGCACTAAAATTCGGTTAACTTCCCTGGTGTGGTTTGGATAGCGGTTTCACCCACGGCAAACCGAAGGTTCTCTGGTCCGCACCAGAATTTGTTTGAGCATTCACACTACCCAAAACCAAACAGAATAGCCGATAAAGCCCACAAGAGTGAATTTCAAACTGACCAAACAGCTTAAGAGTGAATGCAGTCTTAGTCAATTATTTCTAATGTAAAGAAGTACACCTAAGTGATTTCAAAGTAAATAATAGTTACCATACCTCCCCTGCTTGTTGATGTATTTGTGCAGACGGGCTTTGACTTCATCATAAGTAAGGAAAGCCATGTAGCCAGGATGTGTCACTGCCAGGAAATTCCAGTTCCTTAGAATTGAACTCCATGGCTGAAAAAGAGCATCCAGTTTGTTATTGAAGTGCTATTTACTTCAGTATGGTGACATTGCTGAATCTGGCTATTGATGAATTAGCAAATTCAGAGAGTTAATCAAGTGTGCACCTGTAAAATCAAATGTGCACATGTATGCCACTACTATTGGACTGAAAACTTAAACATGATTGATGACCAGTTAACATTTTAGGTTCTAGTGGTCTCGATTGCCCGGTCATGTCGATTTGTCCTGTACAACATCAACAAGATCAGACCTTACCTGGCAGAACATGCTACACATCTCCTGGTACAGGCTCTTGTTATATCACACATCGACTATTGCAACTCTCTACTGGCAGGTCTTCCTACATGCACTATCAAACCCCTGCAGATGATCCAAACCGCAGACTCAAGACTGGTCTACTGATACAAAAGAGCACATGTCACTCTGATGGTCATCTCCGTCCGTTGGCTTCCAGTTACTGCTCTCATCAAATTTACAACCCTGCTGCTTGCCTACAAAACAGTGACAAAAATGGGTCCTCCTTACCTCAACTCTATCATCCAGTTCTACACTCTCTGATCCATCTGATCCGACCTTAACAGCAGTGCCTTAAGTGTGTTTACTTACTCTCTGATGTACGGCATTTTGGATAAAGGAGTCTGCAAAATTAATTGTAGAGCTGTAAAAACTGGGACTATTCTGGTGGGATAAATGTATTACAGAAGTAATGTGTACTTTAACTCAGGGTAAATGATTTTGAAGTTTTTGTGACCTGCAGAAGGAATATAGACTTTAAAACAACAACTTCTCCAGATACCTTCAAGGAAGTATATTATTTTGAAAAAAATAAGATGATAAAAAAACAGAAATAAGTGAGGAGGGCAATGTGGTCATTGATATTATGATCAAAGCATTCAAACAGAACAACAAGAAAACTATTTCAAAACTCAACAATAGCTTTCAGACACAGAAAGGGAACAATGCGGGATACATCGAATCTAAATGGTAAAAAAAACTTAAAATAGAAATACCAAGGCAGGACTGGTGTTCAATGTGGTGCACACAACTACTCGACAAGCTCTAAGAAGTGGAGAGATTTGTTTTTACTGAAGCCTCCGCTCTACTCCATCGACACCCCTCCAACCCCCCTAGCGTTCACATGAAGGAGTTATCACATGGAAGGCATCGTAATAAGGCTTGATGAAGAGCAAGCAGAGGACAAAGGCAACTCCAGTCCTTGGCTGGAGTTTGCCTGTTGACTGTAGACAGTCATGCTCAGAGTTGGACATGTCTGGGAAACCAGCACAGGGAGGCATCCCAATCAGATGCTGGAACTACCTCAACTGGCTGCTTCCTATGTGAAGGAGTAGCAGCTCTACTACGGCTATCATCCCTGAAGCTGACCAAAGGCTGGTTTGGACGACAGAGGGTGATTCACTCAGGGCCTGGTACGCTGTTTCTTTCAATAGAGAAACAAACTGCCTGAGCACAGATCCCAATACTAAAATGCCATGTGTGTCAAAATGAGTAGATTCACAGGTTTAAAACGTTTTTTCGGTTGACCTACCTGGAAGAGGCGTGTGAAAATGTCGAACTCAAACACAGAAATATAATCGTTGCAGGTGAGGTCGATGGTTGATTTGAGCGCCATTGCCTCCAGGCCTGAGCTGATGGGATGCATTTCATGAAGGCAGTGCCGGAAGACTTTCCAAGGAACAATGGTCCTACAAGAGAGCAACAAGTTTAATCACGAAAGCAAAGATACATTCATTTGTAAGGCAAAAGTGATTTAATGAAACAATTATCCACTGGTGATATACAGTAAATATTCAATAGAATGAGTCCACTGATAGTATGGTAGGTGTAAAAAAGGCCTGTTCAGGTAAGTCTTTTGTTCTGCATCTCCCGTTTCTGAGTGCACCTGAATGTGTTGCTCATTGTCTGAGCGCCCCTGAATGCAGCATGCACAACGCATCTCCGAAGTAACCACAGTGAGAGAGACATGCCCAGACAAGTTTGGATTCAACTAAAAGGAGTCGTGAATTTTCTGACGGACCTTTATTATTGTGTGTGTGTCTGTGAGACAAGTGAGTTGATTATTGCTGGAAATTAATGTCTTTTGTATTGTTCATACTTTGCCTGTTCAATTTCTAAGTGCTGATGTTGTTTTTCCACTTTAAATACATGCTAATTGCTAGCTAATTGATAACAGTAGCATAGCTTGTGAAGGTGCAAAAGTGCATTGATTGCTAAGTGCTAAGTGTTTTCAACAGGCTGTATTCTGGAATGTATAATTCACATTCCTAATTGTCTTTCTTTTATTTCTTTTACTATAGAACCACACACACACATACATACACATATGTTCAATTATTTCAAGAAAAGGAAAGGCCTCAAACTCATGCCTTGTACTGGTCATCTGAATTTTATATAAATGGCTTTTAACGTACTGGATTCTCCATCTTTCTTCCTCACTCACACCTTTGCATCAAACATAGTGTCCTGACCCAACACCCTGAGGTGATTGCTGCCACCCTTTATTGGATTCTTAATACCTCTCATACAGTAGGGGTGAGTGTGTGCAGTCTAACAATTGGCAATTTTCTTTAAGATAGTTTAAAGTTGTTGAATCCCCCTTGTGTTATGTCCTTGAGAAACACCATGTGCTTTTTGAACAAAAATAATGTGACAGTGAAAAAAAACAAGGACAAATCTCCAGACTGCATCTCCTCTTCACAAAATGTAATAATGATTACCCAAAAACGGAAACATTACATCCATACGGCAATTAAATAGCAATAAATAGATATAGCCTACTTTTCTCCAAAATATTTTCTCCAGAAGTCAGCAGCATCAGCCTTGGTGATCCTAAAAGTGTCTCCCTGGAACTGTCCTCCTGGGAAAATAGCTTTGATTTCAGCCAGCATGTGGCTGAATATCAGAGACAGCTTGGTCAGGTTTCTCCTGCAAAAAGGAACCAAAGGAGAGGAAGATGTTGTTGTTATGCATGTATGTTTTTCTGGTACACGAACACATCCTTTTCCAAATGAACAGAGCTTTGAAGTATAGACATGGTTTGAGAGTACATGTACCAAAACAGATATAATTTTCCTTTCCTAATTAGCTATTTAAAACTTGCATTAGCTTTGTGTGCCACACTGAGCGTTATTATTGTGTCACAAAGCTGTAAGAGATGTATCTTCATGTACCTCTTTGACACACACACACACACACACACACACACACACACACACACACACACACACACACACACACACACACACACACACACACACACACACACACACACACACACACACACACACACACACACACACACACACACACACACACACACACACACACACACACACACACACACACACACACACACACACACACACACACACACACACACACACACACACACACACACACACACAGTTCTTCTTTATGGACGCTTATTCATCTCAGCCAGCCTTCATGTGACATCATCACATGTCATATATAACTTTCCATAAACATGTTTTTCATACAATAAGTATTGCATGAATGTACGTTTCAATTTTACTTTGTCAGCGATAAAGCACAGTGATCCAGATTTAAGATAGTAGGAGGTGGGTGAAATCAAACACCAGGAAACACTTCCTCTCCTCTCAGCTCGGAAAATAAACCACATAACTTTTATCCATCCGCTTACAGCCTGAACGTGGAACATGAGCCAGTCATTGAAACATTTAAGGAAACATTATTTACATAGCGACCATAGGGGCTACCCCATATAGTCAAAGATTTGACTATATGGGGAACAGCCAGTCAAACACAAGGATCATTCCATTCCAGCTATATTGGGGTGCTCATTGTCACATTTTACATAGATTTGCCTGTTCTCTCCAAATAAATAAAGACTCATAGCCTATTTTGTATAAATATCAACTTATTAATACCTTTACTGCAAGTCTGAAAATAACTGTTACTTGTAATCACTCAGGCTCTCATTAGCTATAATAGGCTGGGGAAAGCGAATGGAAGGTCGTAATTGGCCAATAAGGTGTCAATCAGGTCTGAGTAAAAATACAGGAGAGTCAATGTCGGTAGAAGCGGTGAGGATGAGGAGCCGGGGCCGGCTGGTGCTGGGGCAGACTGGCGGTGTTGGTGCTCTCACTGTTTGCCTATGGACACAGACATAGTCTGTTTTCTGACAGGAATTTACAAGATGAAAATTACTTCAGGAAGAAATCTCTGAATCAGTTAAGTAAACGGCCTTATGTGTTGTAGTAAATGTGTGTAAATATAGAGGACCTTAGGCCTGCGGTGCTGTGCATTCTGGGATTTGGTGTCTTTCATCCACATGAGCCAAAAAGACACTTTCTGCCTTTTCTCAGCCAAGAAGGCACCAACTTCAAAATGTATTTCACATTTCTACTACATATGTGACCCAATGTCAATACAGATTCATGTTTCAACGGGTGAAGTATCCCTTTAAGGTACATGGCAAATGGACTTGAGCTTGTATAGCGCTTTTCTAGTCTTCTGACTCCTCAAAGTGTGAAAGATATGTGAAGAAAACAACTGCCTGTTGGAACCAACCATTTAGGCCCCACTCCTTCTGTTAACTGAAGCGCGCACACATAACTTACTGCTAAAATGCTACAGATCCCTCAGGCCAGTGCAGTCGGTATCAGAACATATTCTTGTGATGGTCTTTCCTCTTCTCCTCTCTAATGATCTGCTTTAGAACGGTGCAAGGAGCCACGTTCGTCAGCAGTTGTTTATGATTTTATATTTACTCTTTTTTGCATCAAATAACTAATAAAAACACAACTACTTAAAGGAATGAAAACTTCAAACAAATCTCCATGATAATAATTATCACGATGGTATATGGGTTAGACACTTATTTTGACTTTATAGTTTGACTAATCTATGAACATTGAGGAGGCGGTGGGTTTATGATCGATTCATAGCTTTTATGCTCATTGAACTGCACACCTGAAGGGCAAGAAAAGCCGCTAACGCTGTACGCTACAGAGAAGTAATTGCTACATGTTGCCAACTACATGTTTATACCAGTTTTATTTTTCAAATTAAAGACATGCACTAACCAACGACTTCTATAGAATTGAATCAGAGAAAGAAGACACAGAGAGCAGGAAGTGGATTAATACTGACTTCTCCTAATCCTGATATCACATTTTGTGTGAACATAATCTAAATATTACTGTCTTTAACGGACATTACCGCCCCAGAACACTGACTGACGGTGACAGCTGACAGGGATCCTGATACTACCATTAGGTAACTCAAATAATAAGCAAGCTGATATAAGCAAATTAGCACTCATCGTTGATTGGATGATGAATTTCTTGCCCTTCACTTTCCTAATGGACTTTTTTGACTCAGCCACATCAAAAATACATAAAACTGTTTTTTGTACTTTTGTAGACTGATAAGGAGGCATAGCGCCACCTACAGGAGCAACTAAGATATACTTCTGAACATGAATTGATTGATTTTCCTCTGGTGGTTGTATACTGAAATAAAGACAGTAGTCCAATTAAAATGTTTAATTAATCTATAACTGAAACTGGACTCAACTGTGGATTGAAGCATACTAACTGATTGTGTAACTAGACTGAAGAGTAAACTCCACCACAACTTGGTGTCAGTGTCAAGTCAGTACATAGTTATTGGCTACAAAAGAATATTAAATAAACTCTAGTTCAAATATCTAATTTCCCTTTGTGACATAAGTCCTGTAAGTGATGCTGCTGCGAATCTTTCTTCTTTCATTCTTACAGCTAGAAATGTTGCTCAAAGATCATCACTAGTATTAACTGTTGGTGGTGTAATAGGGGAAAATGTATTTAGCAGATGTGTGAAAATAATTCTGTTTTGAACTTTCTGACATTTCAAGAAATGCTGGTTTAGATTTAAGCATCATGTGTTTGGATGAACTTTGATTTCTACAAGGATGACTCTACATTGACATTTGCTCTTCCTCTTTTTAGGTTGATTGTGTTAAACTGTTTATCTCCTACAAGAGGAGCTTGTCAATAGTGTTGTTTCCTCCTTGACATGTATAAAAAGAGACTTCATTTTGTTTGTCATTTGAGATACTCTGCAGTGTGGTCACCACGATACACTCTGAGGTTTTATTCCTACAAGAAGAAGAAACCGTACAAAGATGATTGGGCTTTTGGTCTTTGTTTATATTCTCACTGGGGAAATATTTCCATTACAGTGGTAACAAAAAGTAACAATAGGCTTCATGTCTATACCATGAGTCAGGATTTATTCACAGTCAAACGGGGTGAGCCAGCAGATGCTCTGAGAAGGGAGTGAGCTCATATCTTTTATCTGCAACATTCTGCTTCCTGGCATTAGACGTGCACATTTAATCCAGCTGGTATAAGGACATCTCTTTAGGAAGCTGCTAAACTCATTTTCTGTCAGGCCATCTATAAAACACTTCATATATGATGTTCTTTTGTTGTAAGGAAGGACATGACAGAGAGAGATTGCAGTGCAACCAAGAACACTTACCGAAACACTGTGGTCGATGGGATTCCAATCAGTGTCAATGATAGGATAATACTTTATTGATCCCCAGAGGGGAAATTTGGGCGTTGCAGGAGCAAAAAGGAAGTAGAAGATGGTCAAACAAAATATAAATGTAAACATAATAGATAACATAAATAAAAATAGGTGGTATATACACTAGCAAATGGGAAATGTTATACATGTACTAGTATACACATAAAACACTGTTTTTATGATCTACACAAATATAAGATGGAGCTACTTTGGTTTGGTCATTGCTGAGGAGTTGGTGTGGTTGTTGTGCCAAAAGTTGGTTTGAGGAAAGTCTTGATTAAAAAAAGAATGTTAATCTTTTGAAAGATAATTTCCCTTTTTTTAAAGATTTTTTTTGGGGGCTTTTCGTGCCTTTTAATGCAGAGACAGGACAGTGGACAGAGTCGGAAACCAGTGAGAGAGAGTGGGGAGTGACATGCGGAGAGGGGCCACGGGTGGAAGCGAACCCGGGCCTACCGCTCGAGACGAGAGTCTCAACACATGGGACGCGCGCCCCATAATTTCCCTTTTTACATAAAAAAGCCTGCAGACCTATACATGTCACACTCTGTTTGTCTTTCACACACCAAGAAGGCAAATGGTTATTCAGGTTTCAGGGTCAAGAGATTTTACTAAAATATACTCAGTAAGAAAATTAAGTTCCATGTGCACCCTTTACTTAAATGTTCTTCCATTCTTCAATTAATTCCTAATCAATATTCCTGTAATGTCAAAGTCTTGCTAAGCATGGACATCAGACATGCAGCCAGATGGAGGATCAAATGGAGACCAAGACAATCAAGTATAATGAAGTATATGAAACAAAGTTGTTCCAGACGGTCTGCCACAAAGACACGAGTACACGTCTCTGGTGTTGCTTGTAGTACCAGATGCCAGATCATCAAAAAAAGATTTTCATTCTTTGTCTGAGGTTATTGTGTGTTTTGTAAAACAATATCTACACACTTTGTGACACTATTCACTATTTAGAGCACTATATAGGGAAAACACCATTTGTAGTGATGTCTGCAGTATGACTGAGCATAATTAGACTCTATATAGTGGGCTCATTGTATCCCACAATGCATTGTGAAAAGTAATGTACAGTAGGAGCTTAAAGATGGATATAGAACTTAAGATGTACTGAATAACTGTTCAGGTAAAAAAATGGCAGATCAAATTAGAAAACAAGTTTTAGAGACTCGGATGCATTTAAATATATCTGCTGCATAACAACTCCGGCTCTGCGCACGGCAATATCCCAAGGGGAAGTTCAATTTCTTTCACTGTGTTATTATCAAAACATGATACACAAACACAGAACTGAAATATAGCCACATGCACAAACCAGACTCTATGCTTTAATTGAGAGATGCCAGAGCAGCATCCAGTCCCAATTACTTGGTACCAGTGAGCCAAGCCGAGTCCCTATGGCCGCCCCACTATTCAAGGTATCTCACTGTCCTTCTCCATCTTCTGCTCCACTCAAACTGAATGTTCCTAATGACTTTAATTTATTGTTACAGACAAAATCAAACGTCATGTCATTATGTCATTATTCCAATCTAAAAGAAGTTGCTCTATATTTTGGTTGACTTGATAATGGTAAACTTTACTCAGCAATGAAAGCAACTACATTATCCCAGCATGACAGCTGCACAACATATATTCATGATTTCATTTTTTGTATATGGACCTCATCCTACAACCACCTTTTTTCCCTGCAGGCATCAAGAAATGTTTTATGGGCCTCAAAAGCTGTCATCCAGCTTCAGGAAAACTGTGGTCCTGAGATCAGGTTGGATCAGAGTAGCGTCCTGAGCAAGTCTGTGCTTGGTCTGCTACACTGGAATGATATGTTTGACCAATCAGAATCCAGTATTCTATGCAGTTTAGTCATAAACTAAGTAGCAACTTTCACATTTATCTTCTTATCCCTTAACTTCTCCACTTATCCAGTCTTCCAACTCCACCTCTGACTTCCTCTGTATTCTGAGTCAGTCAGGTCTGTCTGAACCATTACAATCACAGTAGACTATTTAAAGTCATCTCTGATGGTAAGAGGCTGCAAACCAACATTCCCTGTAAAAACATGACAATCTTTCCAAACAACAAGCCATGGGTAACTCAAGAACTAAAAACAAGAAGAAACACATTTTCTTTATGGGCAGTAATGAGGAAAAGAAAGATATTAACAGAGAAGTAAAAATTGAGATTAGGAAGGCAAAAAGATTGTATAAGGATAAAGTAGAATATAAGTATAGCAGCAGGGATCTGCAAGCAGCTTGGACAGGAATTAAGTCTATGTCCTCATTCAATCAGGAAGTCAGTGACACTGACAAGAAACCTTTTAAAGTCGATGGAATAAATGATGTAGAGCTTCTGGATGTTCTTAACGACTTCTGTCGTCTTGATAAACATGATTTTGCTGTAAGACCCTCCTCAAAGAATCTCTCCTCTCGGAAGGCAATATTGTCATCTCTGAAGAACGTGTAAGAGATCATCTTAAAAACATTAACATGAGGAAGGTTTGTGGACACACATTATGTCGCTGTTCACCAGCACATCTTCCAGTTGTCATTGGACTGTCACTTTATTCCTGCCATCTGGAAATCTTCCACAGTGGTGCCTATTCCAAAGATCACTAGTCAGAGAAAACTAAATAATTTTAGACCAGTTGCACTTACTTAATTATGAAGACCATTGAAAAAATGGTAAAGAACCTTTTTCTCTCAACAGTGGAGGGTAACCTTGATCCTCTTGAGTTTGCCTACCAGGCAGGGAAAGGTGTGGAGGATGCAACACTTTAGATCTTGAACATTTAGAAAAGCCACAAGCTCACACTCGGCTCTTGTTTGCTGATTTTTCATCAGCTTTTAATAGAAAGAATGATCAGTGATTTTAAACTGCCTCATCATTCTCTGGATTATGAACTTTCTGACTGACAGAACTCAGAGGGTGTCTGTAAATGACCATTTATCAGACTCCTTAACCATTTCCACTGGCTCACTACAAGGTGGGGGGGGGGTCCTTTCCCTCCTCCTCTTCATCATGTATACTGATGCTTAAAGGAGCTCTCAGGAGGGCAGACACCTGGTCTTCTGATGACACAGCCTTGTTGTCTCTCTCTCTCTGGACCAGAGTCAGACCATGGGAGAGCTCTCCCTGATTTGATTTTATAGTGCGACGACAACTTTCTAGAATTAAATGTTCCAAAAACAAAGAACTCATCTTCGACTTTAGACGTAAGAGGGAGGCAGCCACAGAGTGCATCATACATAGTAAAAATGTGGAGATCATAAGGTCATATGAAGATAATCGGTGTGATACAGAGAGATTTAAACTCTTATTGTAACCAGCAGATCCTCAGGAAGGCTGAGAGTATTGTAGTTTCTTGTTGTCACACACTCTTAAGTGAATTTTCTCTGCTGCCATCACGGCGTTGTTATGTTTTACCTGCCTGTAAAACTAACCGCTACTCCAAACCATTCATCCCCTCTGCCATCAGATATCTGAATGCTCCTTAATGATCTTATCTTTATAGCGCCTCAGATCTTTTATTTGACTGATCATTCTAGTGTTTTGTATTCAGTCTGGCTGACCTCTAATCAGTCTAATAAACTCCTTGTGTAATCTGTTGTTTGTGTTTCTGCTCCACACTAATTGCCCAAAGAGGGATTGATAAAGTTGTTTGAATTGACTTGAAGGGCAAAAACAGGTCAAGACAATTACCATCTGTAAAGTCTGAGTAAAGTCAGTTTACTGTCTTAAGAAAATCAAACGTTGTCTTACCTGTCCTGTGATTGCTCCTCATACATCCTCTCCTTCCCCTCTTTGAAGAGCCGAATGGCACGTTTGGATTTCTTTATAAGGCTGTCAATGTAAATCTTAAAGTAGTCATTGTCACTGAGCTGTGTGAGCCTCTGGTTCTCTTCATATTTGACAAGTATAAGGCGCAGATGCTGATATGCATCAGGTAAGATATCCAGAATGTATGGTGGACTATTCTTTAGAAGGAGTCGAGGATTTTGGCAGAGGCGGACCTGTGGGAAAGAAGACAATCACACATCTTGAATGAAAAGGAGCAGAAAGAAGAGTAATCTTATATAATCAGTCCCTCTTTCACATTAACTAACAAAACACATCATTTAAAATCAAGATGCTCAAGTGAACATGACAATAAAAACAATGTCATGATTTGACAGATGGGTTCATTTACATGACGAAGAGTTTACAGTATATTAAAGGTGTGCGTAGATTATTTCAATGATATCATATATATATGTATCTGTACATTCACACTGACAATTAATTCAAGTGATTGTTTGCTTTGTGCTACAACATTCAATGGCACAAAGTGCTTTTATTTTATAACCAGTCGTGAAGTAAAAACTTTAAGATGTCAGACAGATCAAATAATTATTATTCTGCTCGTCTGTGGGGTGGGGGGGAATCATAGAGTTTATAAAAAGTATTCCTGCCAAGCTGTTACATTTAAGTTTATCAAATAAGTGCTTCAATTAATTGAGTATGTTCAGGGAACACATTTTGATTAGAATTAGTTCAATATCTATGACTGCATCCCTAATTATCAGTGTTGCGTCAATCTGGCAAACTGGCAAGTTAGATTGATCACTCCAAACTCACAACTTTATCCATGAGTTTCCAAGTTTTCTCCACAGTCCTCCGGTCGGCGGCTGCTTGTTTAGGTGGTCCCACTGCATCATGGATGGCATCAATGATACCCAAGATTCGACCCTTATTTCTGTTTGGTCCACGTCCACCAGGGTTTCGGCCACTGAGTGCAGTTGCCATGGCCTTAACAATGGAAAAAAAACAGTAAATTATGACCTCCATTACTGTTATAAATAAATGACACCATTGGATTAAAAGACACTATCCTTTAGCTGTTTGTAAAATAATCAGAAATCTTTTTGGCCTTAATGGTCTAACTGTTACTGTCTTAACTTTAACATCAAAACCAATATTCTATATTCAATATTCATATAACAATATGTGCTGTTTAATGCATACTATTGTACTTCATCAGGAGTAGCCTAAATGTCAATCATGTCATTTTTACACATGAATAATTGAGAGCTTTCTTGCTAAATAAGAGCCAGATGACGATGTGGTAAGAGTCTAGATAACACTGTTGTCCCTGTGGACTTGGCATGCTGCTTTAGCTTGTATTTACAAGATGATCGATCGTGTAGTAAGAGTTGTGTTGATGGAAAAGTACCCTCCTTAGCCACCCTCTCTTTTCTTGTTTCCTGTATGAACATTTTACACCTCTGACGGAGCTGCTGGGGAAACTCCGACATCCCGTGAAGCCGTCAAAGACGACGATTCCTAAAAGTTCCTGTTTATTGAACAGTTACTGACAAAAGGCGATCAACATAACAAAGTCCTAACTTACCTAACCACCACAGAATGTCTGCTGGGATCCAAAATCAACTCGCTTCACACCCACAAAAAAATCGAGAGTGCCCAAGGGTCCAGTGGAAAAGTGTGTCAAAAAAAGTATTGAGTTTGTAAATGTTTGTTTTTAAATAACATCTGTATGTTGAAGTCGTCTTGAGGAAGCCTTTCCCACCGTTCTTTACGGCGGAGAAATGTAAACGTAAAGCAGGGAGGTCTGAGCTGCATGCTTTGAACGTTAAGTTAAATATCATATTGTTGTCACTTCCAGCTGGAGATTACAAAATAAAGGTTTCAATGACTTGCTGAATAATCGACATTCATTTCGTATTTGAAGATATGCACTTAACTTATCTTGTATAAACTATTAAATAAAGTCTTTGAGGTAGCATGCTGTTCCAGTCGCACTTGTTCATGTCTGTCATATTCAATGTTGGAACGTGTCCTTATTTTAATCTGAAGCGAGACGTGTGACTTCCTGTACAATCTGACAACCTTCTCTTTAACTTGATGCGGCTTTTCCGGTGGTAGGAGGGTCAATGGGAGTATGAAGCAATAATTTCCAGGAAACGACCAAAGCAATAACAGAAGCGATTAGGCACCCATTGGTGCTCCGTGGGTCTGTCACTCGTGTAAAGTTTGACAGACGCACAGGTAGCAGCGAACTCCGGTCACAGAGTAAAAGAGAACAAAGTTTTCAGCTGACGGAATGGGATCACTGCAGGGTCACTGAAACCATATGATCTGAAATGTTTCTCTCTTGCGCGTCTTAATTTATTCAAAATACATTTCTGCTAGAATAGTTTTGTTGTTTTAACAAGCATATAGGACTGGGAAAGTAGAGCATGGAGGAAAAGAAAATGACTATGACTATGCTATTTAAACTGGGATTATCAGATTATTTGACAGAGGAAGCTTCTAAAAACGTTCTCATTTACTCTGACATAAAGAACATGTCATTAGAACAGGACTAATTTGTAGCTTTTAAATAAAGTTGTATATCACACTTTAAGTACAAAGTGTGCAGCGCTGCTTTTTAATTAATTAATTTATTTTTTATTGGATTTATCCAATCCAGAAACTCTTCCCAACAACTCGAACCTTCACAGTTCATTCTTTTATTTTGGAGGTTAAGTAGCCCAATTTCCAGTGTTGGTAGCTTCATGCTGGTGTCTTGATGCAGCTACAAAGGACAGAGACTGTAGAGCGGCCGCTCCCAAATAAATCTCCACAGCTCCTATCTCTCTGAACAACACAAGCAGTGCTGCACCGGAAATAACAAAAGGAAGAGTGTGGGTGTACAATTTACAGATCTTTTTTAACACGTTACCCATTTGTGTTCGTTTAAAAAAAGCACAAAAACATATTCTGGCATAAATATAGCATGGTAACATGGGGAAAATGTTTCAATTGTTCACAGTCAATTTTCTTCTAAAGTCCACTTCTGCGAATTAATAAGTGTCTGGGCAGCTCAGCTACTAATTCATCATCATCATCATCATCCTTTATTTAAGTTCTCGGAGAAATCATTGAGGGCGACCCTCATTTACAATGATGCTGAGAGTACATACATGAATGACAAACAAAATGAGCCAAGGCTACAGGAAGTTAAATCAATAAAAGCAATAACAACAATAAAATATATAAACCAAAAATAATTAAAAGCTTGAATTACTACAATGGTAAGTCAACAATTAAAATCAAATAAAACAGTTACAGTCAGGTATTGGGCGGTTAAGAAGATTAGTTCTAAAGTGTCCAAAAGTGCTCAATTTTAGGTCCTGTTGTAAAATATTACAGGAGTTTGCAGCACTAACACTAAAAGCAGTTTTCCCCAGGTCAGTCCTGGCATGAGGATCCTGGAGAACCAGCCTCTCACTTGAACGAGTTAAAAATGGAGCAGGGTTCAGATGTAACAAGGAGGTGAAATATGATGGAATCTTTACAGTAAGTGCTTTATAGATAAAAAGATGCCAGTGGTTATTGCGTCTTTCAGTAAGAGATGGCAAACCAACTTTATCAAGTAAAATGCAATGGTACGCTATCACCGGTAATAAATTGAAGTGCAGAATGATAAACAGCATCCAAGGGCTTTAGCATAGTGGTAGATGCATGTCTACAGACTACATCACCGTAATCCATGATTGAAAGAAAAACTGCCTCGATTATCCTTTTCCGACAGAACATAGGGAAATTCGATCCATTTCTATATAGGTAACCAATCTTTTGTCATAATTTGAAAGTAAGATTGTCAGTGTGATATTTGAATGTTAGTTTGTTGTCTATCCAAATACCAAGATATTTATATTCTTTAACTGCCTCGATATTGGATCCTAGCAGGGTGGTAATTTGAAGGTTATTATCAATTTCACCTCTAGCCCTAGAAAACAATATACATTAGGTTTTCTGACCACTTAAAACCAATTTTATATCATTAAGTGCAACTTGGAGAACATTAAAGGAATGTTGCAGGTTCTCCATGGCAAGCTGAGCAGAGTTTTCAATACAGTACAATATTGTATCATCTGCATATAAGTGAGCATGTGAATGACCACTAGATAAAGACTGACTAATATTATTAATTTAAACTGACTCATGGACTAATATCCCTGATTGTAGAGCTATATTATTCATCCAACAATTGGACAATGACAAATCGGTTGTTCCAAAATGTAGGATTGATTGGGGCATAATATATCTCATGCTTTGAGTTAGCAGGAGTAATGAATAAATGTTTACTTAAATAACACAAAATCATAACTAATGTTTTAACAGGGCATTTTGAGAAAAGAGCAAGTAGTCAATGCTGTTTTTGTTAAATTTATAGAGATCTAACACAAATCCACCATGAGCAAACACTTGGCAACATTGGTGAGATTGTAAATAAGCCTGTAATGCTGCATGATACTAAACAATAGAAATGCACTGATGTCAAATTGTGGGTATTCATGTAGCTGTGGAGCAAAGACCCAAAAAGTTTTTCAATGTGAAATATATTATTTTCAAGTCAAATAGACAGAAAAGTGTACTTGATCACACAGCTAATATTGCTGATATAATCTGACAGAATCTAACAAGAAAATTAATGAGCAGGCAAATCAAAGACTCAAAGATTGAATGTGAACACCTGTGAAACAGTTTTATGCTGAATTTAACCTTAGATTGTAGTTTTAACATGGCTGTAATCAGGCCTGCCCGCAGAAATGGCTGGATATAATTTAAATCAATGTATGCACATTCAAGTGGTGTTAGCATTACTCTTCTGGCTAACATTAGCTTCCTCTGGGCCGGTTTATATCGGTAACATAAAAAAAAAAAAAAGAGGTGGACTATATTTTGAAACAGGGTTGATTTTACTGAAGCAACAATGAATAAAATGTGTGTGTGTTTGTGTTGCTTTAAGAAGTAATGGTGAGTATTTCGGTGTAAAATAAAAATTTGGTCATATATGTTCCTCAGAAAGCTTTCCCCTTTGAACCCTTTGAACCTTTGAACCTTTTTTTTCTAAGGTCTCCTTTGAACCTTGACGGCCTTGGCTGTAACATGATGATGCCAATACAACTGCCCGGTGTAGTACCTTAAAATTATAATGTCTGGGCAATTGGATTGTCTCATGGGTTCTCTCCAGGAACAAATATGTCTTCCCTGTAGATATGTTCGAGTCGTTTTGGTCCACTTCAGGGCAGGATTTGCTTGAGATAATAAATAGCAGTTCTACAGAGGGAATCTTCCCATTGGCTGCTTCAGAGCAGTCCTTAACCCTTCTAAATGGGAGATCTATGTGAAATCAAGAACTGTAAACCAATTATAACCATAGCAGCAGGCCATCTTCACCAACAATGCTCAGGAACCTACAGGACCTGAGAGCTCAGGAGCTCCCAGGAAAATATTTGATTAGTAACTAAGATTTATGGATAGCGAGATGCAGTAATATGATGTAAATGCACAGCGAGAGAGGGAGAGATAGGAGTTCAGGGTGCAAGTTCCCCCGGTAGTCTAAGCCTATAGCAGCATAACTAGGGGCTCCAACCCTAACTATAGAATTTATCAAAAAGGAATGTTATGAGTCTATTGTTACATAGTGTGTCTGCCTCCTGGACCCTGACCGGTAGATGATTCCAAACAAAAGGAGCCTGATAACTGAAGGCTCTACCTCTCAAGGTAAATTTAGAGACTGTAGGTACCACGAACAGGCCTGATAACTGAAGACTCTACCTCCCATAGTACATTTAGAGACCGTAGGTACCACGAGCAGGCCTGATAACTGAAGGCTCTAACTCCCATAGTAAATTTAGAGACCGTCGGTACCACAAGCAGGCCTGATAACTGAAGGCTCTACCTCCTATAGTACATGTAGAGACCATAGGTACCACGAGCAGGCCTGATAACTGAAGGCTCTACCTCCCATACTGTTAGAGACTGTAGGAACCACGAGCAGGCATGATAACTGAAGTTGTTTTATCAAGTCAACTTTGGTTATATTCTTTGTAGCGGGTTTGACAAGGTTTTAATTTGGGGTGCCAGTCAGAGTCAAGTCTGACAAATAAAAATTAAATGCAAACAAAAAATAGCCAACCTGCACAAAATATGACATAAGCAAGAGCCACAAAACAATCAAACAAAACAGCAATGCAATTTCAAATATATATATTATCACATGTATCCACCACATGCAAACAAAATTAATGTGTGCAATGTATGTGTGCACATTTCACAGTCTGTGTTTGTAAATCAAAGTTCACTCCTGTTCCGAAAAGAGTCCGCTCCGGTATACCCACGACCCACAGTTCAGTCCATTTCAGGGTTTTACCATGGGCCTCGAAAACAAATAAGGAAACAAACTCAAAAGAAAACCAGCGTCTCTCTTGCGGTGCGACAATCAAAACACAAACAAACAAAAGACACACCAGGTACTCACGGTACCGAAGCTTTTAAGTCAGTCAGTATTCAGAGTCAGAGTTGGGCTTTGCTCCATTGCGACCAGCATCTCCTGACTCCAGGGAACAGCTGATCCGCCAGGAACAGGGAAATAAACAAATCCAACAGGTAATCGGGCCTGACAAAGATGGACCTCTAGCGACAAAGATTTTAACAAACGGCTATAACACAGACTTCAATCACGCTCTATGCCGAGGTAACACTTCTCCTTCACCGACTTTCTTTCAATGACTTTCTGCTCCGATCACCGGTGACTTGCACCTATACAAATGCCCTTCC